TCTAAGTGATGTTTAATCACTCCAACATACATGCACACATCTTGGTACACACAAGGTCTAGGGCAGAGAAACTGGTATTTGGGAAATAATTCATGTTCTCATGGGATACATTCTCTGGTAGAAACCCTAATGTGCACAGGATCCTCCTGAAACGTAGACTACAATCCAGTGTATCAGGCGGGCCCCGAGATACCACACTACGCAAGCTCCTGGGCAGCACAGGTGCTGCCCCTAAGGCTGCCACCTGGAGAAGCCAGGCCTAGGCAGTTACTGAGCTCAGTGTGCCAACACAATTCCAGTGATCAGATGTGAACTAATGCTGGTTAAGTTTCTTTTCACCCACGTTATATAAATGAGACCATCAAGACCCAAAGTCATCCACCAGCAAACTGCTACTGGCTTAGAGAGGGAAGGGTAACCCTCTTACCAAAGCACTATCTCATTGAAACTTGACTTTCTGTCTTGAAAACTACCCTTGCCTCGCCTATCTCTCACATCTTCTCTTTTACTAATTTCCCGTTTCCTGTTCCACAATCCTGCCATAAAAAGCGGAGACGTGGGAATGACCTCTGAAACTCAATTTTGAGGACTATGTGGCTTATTTTTTGTCTTCTGTTGCTTTGATGTCTGGGGTCTACTTGACACTTCAGGGACTGCCCCTGCTGGTTACCCAACTCCTAGAGACAGTAAACCATTTGGCAGCTACAGTGCCTTGCAATGCAAGCCAACCAATGGAAGCTCAGAGACCAACTACCAACTATACTGGTTTCTCACCCTTTGGACTACTCTCCACTGGTCCCAAGGGACCAGTCCAGACAACTCACAACAGCCAGCCCTTGTGCCCCAGAGCCCACTGAAATTATTCAAACTAGCCACCCCTCTGTCTGCTCACCACTATCACCCACTTCTCCCTACAGTTACCCACATGGCTCTCCCTCCCTGTCTCTTCATCCCTGTGCTTTCCCATGTGGCCCCTCATGGATTAACATGCCTCTGCTTTAACTGTTATAACCATCTTTTCAGTTATGGCTGAGTCCTGATTTGTTGGCTTTACCATTCCTATACAAAATCCATATCTTAACAAATTCATCAGTCCAATCCCAGTGGACGTGTGGATTACCTGCAATTCCCTTTGTACCTCCCAAGCTTGGCCCTGCTCAGAGCTGCCCACACACATGCTCTGCAGCCTCCTTCTCAAGGTCTTTGTCCTGGATTAGCCCTGCTATCTTCCTGGGGATGGTGTCTGTGGTCCCCTGAAGTTTCAGGGTCTCTTACCTAATTCCCCGGCAGGTGCTGAGTGTGACGCTGGACTCTTCTGCTCTCCTCACAGTGCCGTGGTAAAAGCAGTGATCCTATCGAACAGAAAGGAAGTGGTCAAGCCAAATAGCACTGATAAGCAAGGCAAGGTTAATGTCTCACGAATGTGACAGATGATGGGTAGCTCTTTATCAGCCCTAACCCTGTAGCATCTTACAACCTGCATAAAACTTTCGCTTTGTTCAGTTCTTATAATAATCCAAGAGGTAGGGCAGAGCAGATGTCACCACGACTAGCGAACAGACAAAGACAGTAAGGCACATGGGAGCAGAGATCTGCCTGCTAGATTAGCGAACCCAGGGTTTTCAGATCTGACATGATGCCAACCCCAGGAAACACTGGCTTCTGAAAGAGCCTGTCTCTCACCAATGTTGCCTCTGTAACCCCCGTAATACGCTGAACAATGTCCCCCTGAAATTCATATGTCCTTCCAGAATATGACTTTATTTGTAAATAGGGTCTTTGATCACATCATTAAATTAGGATGAGGACAGAGTTGGAATGGGTTCTACATCCAGTGTCCTTCAGTCGTATAGGCTAAAAGGACCCAAGTGGCACAAAGAGAAGCCATGTGAAGATGGAGGCAAAGGCTGGAGACAGTAACACAAGCCAAGCAGCACTAAGGAGCTGTAAGAGTAAGGGACGACTCATCCCTGAAGGCCTTGCAGGGAGCATGGCCCTGATAACAGTTTGGTTTGGGACTTTTAGCCTCCAGAACGGAGGAATCAGTTTCTCTCGTTTTAACCTCCAAGTTCAAAGTGCTTTGCTACAGCAGTCCTGGGAAATGAACACACCCCATCACTTCCACAGCTCACACTGCTCCTCCTGAGTCCCTCCATGCCTGGAAACTCCTTCCTGGGTACCTGGGTCCATCAAGCCTGATACTGTTCTCTAGCCATCGTGCCTCACAGCTATCTGATACCCAAACCCAGTAGGGTCCCTCCATTGCTACAAACACCATTGAGCACCACTGTGTACAGGTCCTGAGTGAGACCCCAGAAACACAGTAATAAGCTAATGGAGACACAGCCCCAGCCTTTCAGACTTAGTCTTGTGAAAGCTGTTCTTTCACTTGGAAGCCAGAGACAAACAAAAGTTTGTAGTGCCAGCTGAGTTTTTGATCAATAGGAGAACCATGGTGGTCACAAGGTAAACAGGGTACTTCCAAGAGTATCATAGTGCTAAGCCACACAAAATGGCACAGACAAGACCAAAAGATGGTTAACAATAAGTGTGAATGTTTTTTTCCCCCCCAAGAGATCAGGATTGATGAGCTGGTCAGAACATGCAGAAGGTAAAACCGGGAGAGAGTCAGTTTCTTAAAAGGAGTGAAGATAGATATAACCTATTACAGATAGTTCAGCTCTCACTTCTTCCCAGCACCCTGAGCCTGAGCTGTGTGACAGAGCTTTTGAGGGACCCATCTCCTGACCATGCTGTCTGCAGTTCTTTCCTTGTGGGGGTGTGATCCAGGAGAAGAAAAACTCAGCTCAAGACATGAATATAACCTAATAATTACATTGAAGCATTTTGGTATAGCGAGGCCAGACCTAAATCCAGGCTCCCACATACACCAGCAGTGTAAGCAACTTCTCTCTGGACTTCTGAGTGCTCGGTCTGCAACCTCAGGGTGTATAAAAGAAGCTAGCTGGGCTGATCCTTGGCCCAGAGGCAGGCAGCAAGCATTAGTGGTCAGATTTTCATTAAATTCTCCTTCACTAAAGATAGAACGTGGCCTCAAAGGGCCCAGAAGCGCACCAAAGGACTGAACTCATGGCCTTCGCTGTGCCAATTTTACATCCTGCTCAGCTGAGCCATTCGGCCGCATCAGAAGACACAGGCAAAGCTGAAGCTCAACTTGGGCTCCTCTGGACCACAAGTGCCCTTTCATCTACCGATGATCCACTGACAAGCAGTGTGCTCTTTGACCATTCACTGCCGCCCAGCTAGAAGGAGGGACAGCACCAGCCTTCTCTTAACATCAAAGTCTCCTAGACTTTAAACAAGTCAGATTCTGACCCTCACAGGAGCGCAAAGGAAAACCACTGTGTTGGGAAGACATCCCCCAGCACCTAGGAAAGCAGGCGAGGTATGCACAATCCAACCTCTAGCCAAGAGTGCCTCTGCTTTCAAAGGCCAGCCTGCTGTGTGGCTTCTTTCTTGGTTCCTGGGCTCTAGGACCTGGAGGTGGATCATCAACAAGTTCTAAACCTGGTCCTTAGAACTCAACAGTGTGGCCACAGAATCCACACATAGGGCATTATCAATAAGAAGAGAGTCCAATTTTCCGAGGGACAGGGGCCAGACCTGCATAGGAAGGCAGGACTCATAGACAGTGGAATAACTTGAGAGCCAAGCGTTCAGAAATGTAGGTCAGCCACCGTTTCAAGTGCTGCTACCTTCACATGTGGAAAGAATCGAGTAGATGGCTATAAAGATGCCCTGAACCTCTTCATATCTTTGGATAATGGCTGCAGCACGCACAGCCCCTGTGCTCTCTGAAATGGTATGTTCTATGACTGTCACACGCTCTGTAATTTTCAGGGGACTTTCACGGGCACTGTCAAGTCACTGTTAGTAAATACAAGACCTAAGAGCTAGCCAGCTCTTACTATTTGACAACAGTAGAGAGCTTTTCCCTTAATTCTAACCATAGCCTGATGAGACAGATATTGTTATCCCCCCATTTTTGAAGGGGAAACTAAAAGTTAAAGAGGTTTATTGCTTCTTAACCTTTGTGTTAAGATCAAGGGTAAAGAGGTTTTAGTGACAAGGCAAAGTGGAAATTCAAATCCCAGCAGCTTGGCTGAGCTCCATCTTCTACCCTTCCCAGATGAGGCAGAATCAGCAATTGCATAGGATTTGGCTTGCCAAAGCTCTGCTACCCTCTAGCAACCAACGAAACAAGTTCTAGTCTGAGTCTTGCTGTCTCTGAACTTGGGCAAGTTACTTTTCCTCTTCTCCATTCTCTCATCTGTAAAATATGGAGTTAGAAATAATATTTAAAAATTCCCATCAAAATCAGTGATTCATTTTACCCTTCTATAGCACTGAGAGTCAGTTATCAGCATATCCAATTTTTGAGATGAAAAAAAAAAAAATAACAACAGTATGGTCCAAGGGTTGATTAAGGCCACACTGCTAGTTAAAGCCAAGTCCGTAAGTCTGGCTTCAGATCCCAATCCCCTAAGTCTTTCTGCTGGAATACATTCACAGTCCCATCCCCTAATGACCTGACCTAGATGAGGGCTGTAAACCGACAAGGCCTGGCTGATGAGTCTTGATAAGATTCCCAGAACCCCAGCTAAATTTGAAGGCAGAGTGCAGGCTTCAGCATTTGGGTCGAGAGCAGTCACGGGGTTTATTCCATTCCTATTTACCCTTGATTTATCCTTGATTTCTCATCTTGCAAATGAGAAGGCTGACTGGAAGCCCCCTGGGCCTGGGTGGGACTTTGCAAGAATCCATCTGTAGTAGATGGAAGAAAACAATAATCTAGCCTGTGGTTCAGCAAGGATGTTCTTCAGCCAGCAAGACCCATCAGGGAGAAGGGGGACTCGGGGGACCATGGAACGTCCCCTTCCAAAGCTCTTTTATGAAAAGGCTTTAACACATCTCTGCTTAATGCACTGCTTAGAGCACAAAGAACAAGTCAGGATCAGTCATGAAGTCATTGCATTCCGTTGCTCTCAGGCTGAGGGGGCCACCCCAGGGGGCTTTCATAGCAGGAAGCATGAGCTCACAGCAAACTTGTGCACTGAGACCCATTCTTGAGTTGTAGTGAAGTAAGAGAAGCCAAACCCAAACTATAACAGTTATGGGCTTTCTATGTCTGGCTCTTACCCAACCCCTGCTCCCATTCCTGTCCCTGGAGGCAGAGAACAGAGTCTGCAAAAGGGAGAAGATTTGACCAAGGGCCTCTGAGAAGGTATGGATCAGAGCTGGATAGTTTCCTGATATAGCCCAATCTGGCCACTGCAGTCACTGGCCATACCTCCAACTCCTTTCCCATCTATGAAGGTCTTGGGAGGAAGGTGCATTGACCTTCACACCTACATGTCCAGCAGCCCAACAGAGCCCCCGCCAGCCACCAAGCTAGACCGCTTAGATCAATCTGACCCACGTCCTTTCCCCTATCAGGGGAATCTGATAAACTACGCTACCCTGTTAGTGACTCATAGTGTCTGTTACTTCTTGTTAAACATTTGCACACCAGCAGGGATGTTTTAAAGAATGGGTCACATGGGACTCTGGTTCCATAGACACAGCTAGAGGAATCCTGAGCAAAGGGCCCTCTCTTGCTGTCCTCCCTTTTGCACATCAGATCTCCTGCCTCAGGAACCTGCCAGCCCTGCTCCCAAAGCAAATGCTCACTGTTGCTCCTGCTTTCTCCCTCTCCATCACATCTCACAAGCCCAGGCTCAGAACAATCACTCTTATCCAGGGCTTTTCCACAGGGGCACTACTGCCTAGACCGTGGCAGTAATAAATCTATTGCAAGGGTCAGTCCTGTACAACTGTACGATGTTCCTCAACATCCCTGGCCTCTGGCCACTAGATGCCAGCAGCATCCCCAATCATCCAGCATAACAACCAACATCCACAAATATTGCCAGTGCCTCCTGGGGTGGGGGTGGGGGGAGGAATCAGTCCTTTTGGTTGAGAACCACTGCTCTGAGCCTATGAATTATTATTTTTCTATGTAATCCTGGCTGGTCTGGAACTTGCTATGTAGACCAGGCTGACTTGAATCCACAGAGGTCTCCCTGCCTCTGTCTCCTTAGCACTGAGATTAAAGGAGTACACTGCCACATCCAGCTGAGCCTATGAATTGTTACAGAAATTACCACAGAAGAGCCAGCAGACCATGTGATGTATAGGACTTACTACCTTAAATGTCCCCCAGTGGGGTATGGTAAAGCAAATTAAGATGTAAGACCATTTTCTAAACAATGAATCTTTGATGATGTGCATAATATTCCTACTGAAAACCACCTCTGAAGGGGAGATGTCCAGTATGAAGACAGCGGCAAAATTTAAAAAGCTTGGTAACTTTACCACTGCATTAAAAAGGCAGAATATTAATATAAATTTGTATGTAGTGGTTAAAACTCTGTAAACCTTAAACATATTTTTTAAAGAACTAATGGACCATCTAATTGGGTGAGATGACAGGATGATGAGTAAATTATTTCTTTTAAAGTTTTGCTAATATATGTAAAATTAACATAACCCTAATAATATGTACTCTTCATGATGATTTGCACAGACTTTAATCAATGCAATTACCCTCAAACATTCCATCTGTTTGCTCCATCAATTTTGCCAGCAAAGGACAAAAGGCATCTAAGAAACAAACAGTAGGCTCGCACTTTGCGTCTCTTCTTGTGCCCTGGGTCGTCAGTCAGGGGAAGCAACCCCTTCAAAGAAGGGGTCATCTCCATCACACATTATACATCCACCATCCCTAGGAATGGTACCCAACCAGGGTAGCTACTGGATGGGCACCTGTTGACCAAAACTCACCTGGGATTTCAGCCTGGTGACTTGAGGGTTGCCACTTTCCGTGTAACAGGTTTCTGTGTAGGCTGGAGCAAAGAGGTGCCTGTAAACAACAAAGACAAACATTTGTATCTTCATTGAGGAATTCCATCTTCCTGATAATAATAGCAGCTAGTGATTTTAATTGAACTGGGAAGGACCCACCCCAAGTGGAAGAAACTGGGTGGCCATAAGGGGCTAAGGAACAAAAAGAAAACTAAGAGGAAGTTTGTCATTGATTTTATCGTCACAGACCATCATTCTGATGAGATGGAGTTCACAGTACTAAAGCAATTATCTTGATTTGTTTTTCCGGGTCCTGCGAAAGGGCACATGCAGACACATACACACAGTATCTCAGGGTCTGGAGACCCTGCTGTGAGTTTTTAAAATTTATTATTTTTATTTTAAGTGTATGAGCATATTGCCTGCACGTGTATAAATGCGCATGTGTTGTGCGATGTCTGCAGAGATCAGAAGAGCATGTCGGATCCCCTGGAACTGGAGTTACTAATGGTTGTTAGCCATCATGTGGGTGCTGGGACTCAAACTCAGGACCTCTGCAAGAGCAGCTGGTGCTCTTGACCACTGAGCCACCTCTCCAGCTCCCCTACTGTGAATTTTGACTGATCTTCCCGACATTGCATGCACTAACTCTTAGTATCAGCACATCATGTTTTCTTTATGAGAGTAGCCTCTCTGTTGCATATTTTCCTGGGTTTGTCAATCAAAGGGTCCCATCTGGCCCTGGCCAAGGGGTGGCCTATGTTTTAAACAAAGCCATAGAGTGGTGGTGCAAGGACTGAACGGATGAAAGCAATGGGCTATGTTGTTACTGGAGCTGCCCCGTCTGTCCTTTCTTAGACCTTGTGGGTCAGGTCTCCTGAGACCTGGTGGTTCTGTATATTAGCCATTCTAACCAATTCCCTTTTTTCTAAACTTAATACATTGTTTTCTCTTTTGTCATAGACCCTTGGAAGCTAGCATTAAGGATCCCTCGCCAAAGGCCAGGAGACAGCAAACAAGGTTCCCGAAATTTCTCCGCGTCAAATGAAAAACAAAAGAAACAAATGGATGTTTCAACTAACAGAATCGATCCATGGTCATGGAAAAGGATTCCTAATGGAAGAAAACATCAGAAACCGGAGTCTGACTGAAGAAAATATATAACGGAAAAGCCTAAAAAGGAATTAGCTAATAACAGTGACTTTCAGAAACATATGTATTTTTAAAAGTCAATTTTAATGGAAAATTGATCGATGTAGCGAGTGCATGTGCTGAACACGGAGTAGTGAGCAGCTTTGTCTATGGGACTAACTCAGCAGGGCAATGTTCACAAGTTACACACTTCTACAGCTATTTTTGAAACAATTATCAGATATTTATTTTGAAAGCACAAATCCTAATTCACAACTGGTTTGGTTTTTTGTTTGTTTGTTTGTTTTTGGTCTTTTTGAGTCAGGGTCTCTCTGTAGGCCCAGCTGTCCTGGAACTCACTACATTAGACCAGGCTGGCCTTGAACTCACAGAGATCCGCCTGCCTCTGCCTTCTGAGTGCTGGGATTAAAGGCGTGCGCCACCACGCCCGGCTCACAACTGTTTTTTAAAAGAAAATGCAGGCTGAGGCCAGCACAGACAGCCAAGGAATCTGGAGACAAGCTTTGGAAGAGGTGACACTTGTGCAGAGAGGAAGGAACATGGTAGAGGCCTGGGACTCCAGATTCGGATTCCTCCCACCTCAGAGTGCAGTCAGAAAGCAAAAGCCTCAAAAATTAACATTCAGTCTTGACAAGAAGGCAGGAAACCCAAGAGGGAAATGTAAAACCACAAAAACACAAAATCCTTCGGGCCCAGAGGAGCATGGAAACAGGATCAACTGCTGACTTGCCAGAATCTGACTCCCAAGACTATTTTTCTCCTTAGCCAGTCCAGGGGTTCAGGGAGGAGTCATTTCTAGGTCTGAAGGCATGCAATAGTAAGTCCCATGAGGGGTAGAAGCCCACAGGTTTTTTTGCTCTTGTCTCTCAGCACTTACAGTTTATTAAATGGAATAATTAGTTAATTGTGGAAGAAACAAACGAGTAGTTTATCTTCCCAGGAGCTTGTCACATGATCTGGGATCTGAAAGTCAGAGGTTTTGAGTCCAGCTCTGAGCTTTATTCTCAATGGCCATGAGCTGGCTACTTTCTCTCTCCAGATCTCAATTTCCTTTCCCACAGGAATGATGGTAATATTCCTCCTTGATGTCTTAAGAATCAGACAACATGGGCTGGAGAGATGGCTCAGCACTTAAAAGCATTGGCTGCTCTTGCAGAGAACCTGGGTTTGACTCCCAGCACCCACAAGTTGGCTAACAACCATCCATAGCTCCAATTCCAGGGCTTCTAAAGCCCTCTTCCGGCCTCCTCGCACATTGTGCAGTACAGGTGCACTGACCATACATGCACTCATACACATAAAATAATAAATAAAATATATTTAAGAATCAGACAACATGATAATACATGCAGCAGGCTGAACACCATGCATGGCACAAAGTGGAACTGGGTAAAAGTTAATGATTATCATTATTACTTTTAGTTTATTCTAATTTTTGGAGACAAGGTAGCCCAGGCTGGCCATGAACTTACTATGTAGCCTAGGATGACCTTGAACTTCTGATCCTCCTGTTTCTACCTCCTAAATGTTGAGATTCTAGGCTACAGATGTAAGACACCATGCCCAGTTTTACGGGGCACTGAGGGCTGAACCCAGTACTTCATACATGCTACAAGCACTCTACCAACTGACCTACATGCCTAGTTCCTCATTACTGCTTTTAACGTGGCTTCTGATGGAAGAACACAGAAAAATAGACGGAATTCATCTGTTTTTCTCTCTAGCTCTCCACTATTAATTCACCCCATATAGCACTTAAGAGATGAAAAGCAATTAGCTTATTCCTGCAGTCCATTTCCTGGGTGGCTTTTACAGACTGCATAATGCACAGCTGGTCAGGGATTCAGAGTTTAATGGTCCATCCCTGGTGCCAGTGGGGAAATGTAAATTTTCCCAAAGGAAATACACTCAGGATAAATACATTCTCAGCTTCTGAGTCTAAGCAGGAGGGGGGGGAAAGCCACTTATCCAGTGACAGTAAGACGGGCTGACAGGGCAATCCCAACTGAGCCTTCAAGGTATCCTTATGCTTAGCAATTCTCAAGCACATATCTTCAGAAGTTAAGAATGTCTGCAGCTTCTTATTCTGGGGATGTGCCCCCATCATCATGGGCCTCTTTAAGCCTCACCATTGAAAAGAACCTTAGAAATCAAGTAGATTTCTCACTAGATTACTTACTCCCTGAAAGCATAGACCGCGATTGTGTTTAAAGGCTTTTCCTAGCTCACAGCTCCTCCCAAACAAGCAGTATGTGTTTATTGTGAATAAGCCAATGAATGAGTGAATGCACTTCCTACCTAGTGTAGGAACCTGCCGGTGGGGGTGGGGGGTGTCATTCAGCACAGGAACCTTCCAGAGACAGGAATCTCCTGAGACTCCACTCCCATTCTGACTTTATGACTCAGTAAAAACCACCACCTGAATTTAAAATGATCTCTCTGCAACTGGCTTCATTCTGTCCACAGACTCTAAATCTAGAGGCTATACCATCTGCTCTCTTTGCTTCCCAACCACCTTTTCAAAGCAACATTTACTTCAAAACGAAAAATAGGGGGTGGGAAGATGGCCCAGTCAGTATAGTGCTTCCGTGCAAGGATGAGGGCCTGGGTTTAGACTCCCAGCACCTAAGTAAAAAAGCCAGGCATGACACCGGGTGCCTGTAATCCTCATGCTGGGGAGCCAGAAGCAGGAGGATTCCTGGGGCTTGCTGGCCAGCCAGTCTAAGCAGAATCAATGACCCTGTTTCAAAAACTAAGGTGGAGAGCAATACATGAAGCCACCGACGATGACCTCTGGCCTCCACATGAACAGGTACACATGCATACACCGCACACAAAATGCACATTGCTAGGTTGCACCCCAGACCGACTGAATCAAAAAGAAACTGAGTCTGAAACCCAGCCTTTTTTTTTTTTATAACAACTTTCCAGATACTTCTGGTGCAGATGCATATTTAGAACCAATGCCTTAAACCACAACTTTCTGAACAAACTTCAGAAATGTCTATATATGTCTGACTATACAGGTCCTTCCACCTTCCTGCCTCCACCACATCCGGGATTGTTGCAAGCTTAGGAAACCTAGAGCATTTACCATCCACCTGTTTAAGTGCTAGGTCAAAGCATTCTGTCGTTTAACCTTCACAGCACATCTGAGGTAGGAACCTCCTGCTTTCTGCGTTTTGTAGGAGGATCTCTAAGTGACCACGACATTGTTGGAGCTGGATTTCAATCCCATGTCCCTAAGGGGCATGTACAGGGTCTCCCTGTAGCCCCAGCTGGCCTGGAACTCACTATGTAGAACAGGCTGGCCTTGAACTCACAGAAATCTGTCTGCCTCTGCCTCCTGAGTGCTGGGATTAAAGGCATGCACCACCACACCCAGTGAGCCACATTTTTAAGGTAGTTTGTTGCTCCATCTTTCTGAGATGGAGGCATAAATCCAAATCATGGCTCTGAACCATGGATCAGAGTAGTGATACTGGCTGGTGAAGATAGCAGCCTTGCGGTTATATATCCCGTCACACTGAAGGTGACCATGAGTGCTTGGATGTGGATGTCTGTGGAGGAGAGCCATAGGGTAAGCTAAGCCTAGGACAGGAACAAGAGTGGATAAGCAGGAGCCTCAGGGCCACGTCTGTCCAAATAACCCTTTCTCTAAATGGGCCGTGGATGCTGGCCAGGAAGGTGCTTCCTTCTACAAACACCATCTGTACAGTTTTACCAACAGGGGGTAAAACAATACTTTCAAGGGCTCCCCACTACCCCCAAGATAAGGCTAAAGTTGCTTAGATGCTCAGGCGGGACCCTGGCATTGAGTTCAGGACAAATGCTATGGTCATCTTCCCAGAGAGGCCACATGGACACTGAGTGACCAGCTGTCCCTTCTCTGTCCACATCCGTGCT